TATATCACACACATTATATATAATATATAAGTTTAACCTGTTGGTTGAATGACTTGTCATACTGAAAACGTTTTTTTCCCTGCTGATTTGAAGTGTTTCTGCATATTATGCAGCTTATTTCGGATGCGGGTTACCAAGGAGAGATCACCAGTGTTTCTACAGCGTGCCAGCAGCTGGAGGTTTTCTCCCGGGTGCTGAGGACATCTTTAGCCACGTTGCTGGACGGAGGAGAGGAAAACTTGGAGAAAAATTTGCCAGAATTTGCAGTGAGWTTAACTTGCGTTCATTTTTTTAAACATATTTTTTGTTTTAATCCTAGGTGCAGGGATTATCATCATCACAGTTGATTGGATCCTTGCCTCGATGGCCACGGATATTAATATGATTTTTAAGACATTCAATAGTTATATTTATAAATTTGTCTACTTCCATTAATAACATGCAAAAGCAAATGAACAGAAAACACAAATGTACACTATAAGTTGATGATTCTAAATCCTTCATATATTGATTCATAGTCTCRTAGTCATTTTTGAAAACCTATTCTAATGAAAAAATTATATTGTAACTCTGGAACAATATTAAATTTGCCAAACTAAGTTAATAGTACTAATTTCTCATGTTATTCCATTTTTTGTCTTTTAGAAAATGGTGTGTCACGGTGAACACACATACCTCTTTGCCCAGGCAATGATGTCCATCCTGGCTCAGGAGGAGCAGGGGGGGTCAGCTGTTCGTAGGATCAGCCAGGAGGTGCAGAAGTCTGCACACACAAGGTAATGTTGCCTTGTAATTCATCAAGACTATATTATATGGACTGGGTTGAGTTTTGGTCTTTTACTTTGGCTTCAGCTGTTGAAAYAGGTGCAAATGAATGAGATTGTAGCAACAAGTTGAGTTATTTGGATGTTCTTGGGAATTGTAAATGTTGCCTTGACTGTTGTTGAAAAAGACTGTACTTTGTGGTTTTGGTTCATCTCCCAGGGGTCATGATGCCAGTCAGATAACCCTGGCACTCGGTACGGCAGCAGCCTACCCACGAGCCTGCCAGGCACTGGGGGCCATGTTGTCTAAAGGTGCCCTGAATCCAGCTGATATCACCGTCCTCTTCAAGATGTTCAGCAGCATGGACCCTCCTCCTGTAGAGCTGGTTAGAAGGAAACGGATGGCTTTGCTTTTATATTCACTCCATTTTTTTGAAGTGGTGCTGTATTAACTGAAACACATTTATTTTATTTATTTTTTTGTTTTAGATCAGAGTGCCCGCCTTTCTGGACCTGTTCATGCAGTCGCTTTTTAAGCCTGGCTCAAAAATTAACCAGGACCATAAGCACAAATATATTCACATCTTAGCCTACGCTGCCAGTGTGGTTGAGACATGGAAAAAGGTACATTATAAACAATATTAATGTTTGCACTTTCTTTTTAAAATCTGGCACACTAACACAGATRTATTGTTGGTGTTGGGTGAATCGTTATTTGCAGGCTGTGTAGCTGGCTGCAGCTGTCAGCTGTTTTTTATTTTTATTTTTTATCTTTCGTTGTTCCTTTKAACTCCCTCTTTCTTTTATGCCAGAATAAGAGAGTTAACATCAATAAAGACGAGCTGAAGTCAACGTCCAAGGCCATAGAGACCGTTCACAACCTGTGCTGCAATGAGAACAAAGGAGCCACAGAGCTGGTGGCTGAACTCAGCACTTTGTACCAGTGTATCAGGTGAGTCCATGACTGCAGTCTCTCTAAAACGTACAGTTTTGTTTATAAACGTCTTTAAAGATACTTTACACTAAGTGTGAAATCAAACATAAAGAAACAGATTACCATGAGTGCAGTTTGAATGACTAGCTTCCCAGGTACCTTATGCTCTTCTGAAATGTGAGATTCTGCCAGAAAACACATGGAAGCTTCAGTCACATGACTGACCAACGTTAGGCTGGTGATAGTCTGTGTAGGTAAACAAATGTGGCMGGTGAATTCAGCATTCGACCTATTTTCAGTCACTTCTGAGGTTTTGGTAGGTAGTTGGCATCGGGTTACATTTGCTTATAAACACTGGAATAAGTTCTTTTTAAATAAACAAATTATTGTTGTTTTATAGATATAAAAAGCATTACTACTAGGGGTGCAACGATATAGGAAATTCACGGTTCGGTTCGGTTCGATACTTTAGTCTCACAGTTCGATGTTTTTTCAATACAAAGGAGAGACATTTCCATGCCCCTTTTAACTTGTAATTTATTTATATTAATTATGAACATTTGTTTAACCTCAAAAGTACAGTTTTTAAATTAAATGTTGCTGAAACAGCACGTTTCTCAGTGGATCTGTGCTCAAAAATGCAGCCTAGGTGGAGTAGTTGAACACAGATCCACTG